CCCCCACATCCTGCTGGGTTACAGGGCAACACAACTCACCCCAGCTCCGACCAGCATCGTCCCAGCAGCAACCCTTGGTTGTCCCGTGGAATGCCCACCCCAAAGCATCCCCAGATCTCTCTACCAGGCCTCACGCTCCTGCATCAGCAGGTTACAGGGCAACACCCCAGCACCGGCCAGCGCCGTTCTGGCATCGAACAACCCCAGATCACTGAGTATAACAGCATCGAAGCCACCTAAAACGAGTTGCTAGCCGAGGCCTGTGATATGAGAGAAGGGAAACCAGTTCCAACACGAACGGAGTTGATAGGCACTCCTCTAGATCCAATCACTTGTTTGTCATGTACATTCATGTGACTCGTAACAAAACCATTTTCATGCCATAGGTGCACGCAGAGCTCAGAGGCAAGGGCAGGAGGGATGGAGGTAAAAGGAGAAGGGAAGAGGAGCACAGGCATACCCCCATTGCACACCGGCACAATGACTGAGAGTTTAACCTGCACGATGCATGCCGAAGGGAGTCATATTGAGTGTTCATCACAATGTGGCACTGATTTGAAACACTGATTTTTTTCTCAACTTGGATTCGTTTTGATCATCACCATTTTTGCATCGCAATTGTCATCTAACCTTTGCAAGCAGGCTGATTGATATGCTCTGATTCAAAACAGTGAAGACACGCAGGCTGTCCAAAACTATGCGCTTGTCTGTGCTGTGAATAGTCCAGCTTAGTGCCATCTCTGCCCAGTCCACACGCAGCCGAGGCCTGTGATATGAGAGAAGGGAAACCAGTTCCAACACGAACGGAGTTGATAGGCACTCCTCTGGATCCAATGGACCTGCATCAGAAGCCAGACGAAATAGGTTCCAAAAATTTGAGTTTAGAGTTTCCCAATTTTGTCATTAAAATCTGAAGCTGCCACTCCCTGAATCTTGTGTTCGCCCTAACCCGACACAAAGACATGGGAACACAAATTCACACAAGGTCAGGTCACAAAAGATTACACAAGATCAGCTGACAAAAAGTCACAGATGGTCACAAAATACTCACAAATGGCCACATGCAAGCCGCAATGACAGCCCGTAAAACAGAAGGCAAGTCATCATGAGATGGCAGGCAGCTCACAGCAGCCTGGCAGGAGTCTCTCTCTCTCTCCCTCTCTCTCTCTCTCTCTCTCTCTCTCTCTCTCTCTGTGTGTGTGTGTGTGTGTGTGTGTGTGTGTGTGTGTGTGTGTGTGTGTG